TTTTAAGTTTTACAACAACAAAAAAGTTATCATTGATAATTTTACAAAAAAAAAGTTACCATTGATAATTTTAGACTATAATTTATTAAAATATACAAAATATTTAAGAAGATTTGATAGTGTCTCATAAGGTCAAGATATTGTGCTGCTCTAGATATTTCTGAATGATAGTATTGTCCTAAATATTTCTGAATGGTGGTAATGATTCACGATCATGTGCGTGTTGTTTATGTTGCAACAAAAGTTATATTATTGTATTGTTTTAAATTTTTTTGAATAGTAGTGGTAATTCGGATTGCTGGTTTGATTCTAAACCCTTACAATTTTTTTAAATGTTTTATATTTTTGAATGACGAAGGTAATTTAGATATGTTTCAATAATAAGTTCATTTCTAGGTCATTGTCTTTGCATTTCTCCTTTTTACTTAATATATAATTTTAGTTTGTATAAAAAATATTATTAAATTGTAAAATATAATTAAATAAATATTTATATTTAAAGGTCATTATGTATTTAAGTTATGAATAAACAAAATAAATAGCTATAAACTCATATTCATGACATGAATAATAAAATGAATAGTATACATAATAAATAAAATAAATAACTATTAAATATATGTAATCATAAAAGAAGAGACGAATGTAGTAATAAATTTTGATTTATTTTAGATAATGATAATATATTTAAAAATAATAATATTTATTAGTAAGAAAACATTAATAACCTTTCCTTGGTAAAACATTTTATTCAGTGAAAAACTTTGGAAGATTGTTTTCAGATTTCTTTGATTCGGTCTACACTCTCTAAAAAGAATGAAATAAAACTTTAATATTGATTCGGTCTATACCGATTTTAGTATTGTTTGGTTTTCAAAATTTGTTCAGCCAAATACAACTTTAATTCCTAGTTCAACTGATCGAACCGATTGATTTAATTCATTTTTCAATAATTGATTTTTAAACAGTATGAATTGATGGGGGTGTGTGACATGAAATCTGATGGGGTGTGTGAAATAAATTAAATATAAATTTTAACTAAATCAATATAAAATTATCAAACACAAATTTTTACCTTCAATATAAACATTTCAATTATAAGTTTGTCGTTAACAACCAAGTTAATGAAATATAGTTAAAAATAATTAAAGTTATGAAACAAGTACATATATTTTTGTATTAAATATTGATTAAGATATTCAGAAGATCATAATTGTTTTTAAATTTTACAACAACAAAAAAGTTATCATTGATAATTTTACAAAAAAAAAGTTACCATTGATAACTTTAGACTATAATTTATTAAAATATACAAAATATTTAAGAAGATTTGATAGTGTCTCATAAGGTCAAGATATTGTGCTGCTCTAGATATTTCTGAATGATAGTATTGTCCTAAATATTTCTGAATGGTGGTAATGATTCACGATCATGTGCGTGTTGTTTATGTTGCAACAAAAGTTATATTATTGTATTGTTTTAAATTTTTTTGAATAGTAGTGGTAATTCGGATTGCTGGTTTGATTCTAAACCCTTACAATTTTTTTAAATGTTTTATATTTTTGAATGACGAAGGTAATTTAGATATGTTTCAATAATAAGTTCATTTCTAGGTCATTGTCTTTGCATTTCTCCTTTTTACTTAATATATAATTTTAGTTTGTATAAAAAATATTATTAAATTGTAAAATATAATTAAATAAATATTTATATTTAAAGGTCATTATGTATTTAAGTTATGAATAAACAAAATAAATAGCTATAAACTCATATTCATGACATGAATAATAAAATGAATAGTATACATAATAAATAAAATAAATAACTATTAAATATATGTAATCATTAAAGAAGAGACGAATGTAGTAATAAATTTTGATTTATTTTAGATAATGATAATATATTTAAAAATAATAATATTTATTAGTAAGAAAACATTAATAACCTTTCCTTGGTAAAACATTTTATTCAGTGAAAAACTTTGGAAGATTGTTTTCAGATTTCTTTGATTCGGTCTACACTCTCTAAAAAGAATGAAATAAAACTTTAATATTGATTCGGTCTATACCGATTTTAGTATTGTTTGGTTTTCAAAATTTGTTCAGCCAAATACAACTTTAATTCCTAGTTCAACTGATCGAACCGATTGATTTAATTCATTTTTCAATAATTGATTTTTAAACAGTATGAATTGATGGGGGTGTATGACATGAAATCTGATGGGGTGTGTGAAATAAATTAAATATAAATTTTAACTAAATCAATATAAAATTATCAAACACAAATTTTTACCTTCAATATAAACATTTCAATTATAAGTTTGTCGTTAACAACCAAGTTAATGAAATATAGTTAAAAATAATTAAAGTTATGAAACAAGTACATATATTTTTGTATTAAATATTGATTAAGATATTCAGAAGATCATAATTGTTTTTAAGTTTTACAACAACAAAAAAGTTATCATTGATAATTTTACAAAAAAAAAGTTACCATTGATAATTTTAGACTATAATTTATTAAAATATACAAAATATTTAAGAAGATTTGATAGTGTCTCATAAGGTCAAGATATTGTGCTGCTCTAGATATTTCTGAATGATAGTATTGTCCTAAATATTTCTGAATGGTGGTAATGATTCACGATCATGTGCGTGTTGTTTATGTTGCAACAAAAGTTATATTATTGTATTGTTTTAAATTTTTTTGAATAGTAGTGGTAATTCGGATTGCTGGTTTGATTCTAAACCCTTACAATTTTTTTAAATGTTTTATATTTTTGAATGACGAAGGTAATTTAGATATGTTTCAATAATAAGTTCATTTCTAGGTCATTGTCTTTGCATTTCTCCTTTTTACTTAATATATAATTTTAGTTTGTATAAAAAATATTATTAAATTGTAAAATATAATTAAATAAATATTTATATTTAAAGGTCATTATGTATTTAAGTTATGAATAAACAAAATAAATAGCTATAAACTCATATTCATGACATGAATAATAAAATGAATAGTATACATAATAAATAAAATAAATAACTATTAAATATATGTAATCATAAAAGAAGAGACGAATGTAGTAATAAATTTTGATTTATTTTAGATAATGATAATATATTTAAAAATAATAATATTTATTAGTAAGAAAACATTAATAACCTTTCCTTGGTAAAACATTTTATTCAGTGAAAAACTTTGGAAGATTGTTTTCAGATTTCTTTGATTCGGTCTACACTCTCTAAAAAGAATGAAATAAAACTTTAATATTGATTCGGTCTATACCGATTTTAGTATTGTTTGGTTTTCAAAATTTGTTCAGCCAAATACAACTTTAATTCCTAGTTCAACTGATCAAACCGATTGATTTAATTCATTTTTCAATAATTGATTTTTAAACAGTATGAATTGATGGGGGTGTGTGACATGAAATCTGATGGGGTGTGTGAAATAAATTAAATATAAATTTTAACTAAATCAATATAAAATTATCAAACACAAATTTTTACCTTCAATATAAACATTTCAATTATAAGTTTGTCGTTAACAACCAAGTTAATGAAATATAGTTAAAAATAATTAAAGTTATGAAACAAGTACATATATTTTTGTATTAAATATTGATTAAGATATTCAGAAGATCATAATTGTTTTTAAATTTTACAACAACAAAAAAGTTATCATTGATAATTTTACAAAAAAAAAGTTACCATTGATAACTTTAGACTATAATTTATTAAAATATACAAAATATTTAAGAAGATTTGATAGTGTCTCATAAGGTCAAGATATTGTGCTGCTCTAGATATTTCTGAATGATAGTATTGTCCTAAATATTTCTGAATGGTGGTAATGATTCACGATCATGTGCGTGTTGTTTATGTTGCAACAAAAGTTATATTATTGTATTGTTTTAAATTTTTTTGAATAGTAGTGGTAATTCGGATTGCTGGTTTGATTCTAAACCCTTACAATTTTTTTAAATGTTTTATATTTTTGAATGACGAAGGTAATTTAGATATGTTTCAATAATAAGTTCATTTCTAGGTCATTGTCTTTGCATTTCTCCTTTTTACTTAATATATAATTTTAGTTTGTATAAAAAATATTATTAAATTGTAAAATATAATTAAATAAATATTTATATTTAAAGGTCATTATGTATTTAAGTTATGAATAAACAAAATAAATAGCTATAAACTCATATTCATGACATGAATAATAAAATGAATAGTATACATAATAAATAAAATAAATAACTATTAAATATATGTAATCATTAAAGAAGAGACGAATGTAGTAATAAATTTTGATTTATTTTAGATAATGATAATATATTTAAAAATAATAATATTTATTAGTAAGAAAACATTAATAACCTTTCCTTGGTAAAACATTTTATTCAGTGAAAAACTTTGGAAGATTGTTTTCAGATTTCTTTGATTCGGTCTACACTCTCTAAAAAGAATGAAATAAAACTTTAATATTGATTCGGTCTATACCGATTTTAGTATTGTTTGGTTTTCAAAATTTGTTCAGCCAAATACAACTTTAATTCCTAGTTCAACTGATCGAACCGATTGATTTAATTCATTTTTCAATAATTGATTTTGTAATGAAGCCAAAAGAGAAAGAGATTCTAGAAGCAGAATATGAGTCAGCAAAACAGAGGGAGGGCCCACAAAATACACACGGAAAGGAAGTGGCTAACAATAACGCGGAAATATCGGACATACGCACAGGAGCAAGGCCACGCAAACCGCACAGCATGTGGAGGGACTACGTGAAGGAATGAGTCAGTACTTATACTGCAGTAGTGAGAAATTGTAGGCTATGTGATGAGTAAAGTTGTTATTCTTCTCCCTCAAAACTTTCTTTTTCACATCTGGATTTTTATTGTATGCCTACTGTTTGATTAAAGTCCTATAATATTATCCTCACTTTTCTTTCCATCTTTTCTACAATATTTAGTACTGTTTCATTGGTGCTTTCATCACACCATGGCCGAACCCCAAAACAAAGAGCTGCAAGCTGAGATCAAGCGCACTAATGAAGAGATGCGGTTGTTTCAGACTGAAATCCTTGAGCGTATGGAACGATTAGAAGCTGGTAACACATCAAAGTTTAATGATATCCATGCAGCGCTTGACATCCTCATTCAGCAGACACCGTCGAAGCATCGCCATGGTGCAGAACTCAACAACAGGCCTCCGTTTCAGGTGAGAAATGTCAAACTCGAATTTCCTCGTTTCGATGGCACTAACGTGCATGAGTGGATCTTTCGAGCTGAGCAATTTTTTGGTTATTACGATACCCCTGATCCTGATAGATTAACTATTGCATCTGTGCATCTGGATAAGGATGTGGTTCCTTGGTTTCAAATGTTACAACGTTCTAATCCGTTTCATTCTTGGTTAGATTTTACTCGTGCTTTAGAATTGGATTTTGGTCCATCCATCTATGAATGTCCCCGTGCTACCCTGTTTAAATTGACTCAAACTGGAACTGTTTCTGAGTATTATCTACAATTTACATCATTAGCTAATAGAGTTTACGGCCTAAGTAATGATGCTTTAATTGACTGTTTTATAAGTGGTCTCAATTCCGAGATCCGTCGTGACGTGTTAATTCACACACCCACCTCCATTGTGAAAGCGGTATCTTTAGCCAAAGTCTATGAGGAAAAATACACTCAAACACATAAACCACAAAGAGCCAACCCATCCACATATATCAAACCACCCTTCAATTCATCCAAACTAGAAATTAACCAGAGAAACACGGCCCCCATCCTCAACACACCCCCCACCAGACCTATGAGTCAGTTCCAAAAGAATCCCAATATCAAACGCATTTCCCCTGCAGAGATGCAACTCAGACGGGACAAAGGACTTTGTTATTGGTGTGATGACAAATTTTCATTTACTCATAAATGCCCTAACAGACAACTTATGCTATTACATTATGATGACACTGAGGATGATCAACTCAGTGGGGATATCCTGAATCCATCTGATTTCAGCACAGACAGCATTCCCACCGTCGAGCCGGAGCATCATTTGTCATTAAATGCAATGAAAGGAGATTCTAATATGGGTGTGCTAAGATTTTCTGGGTTAATTGAGAACATTAAAGTGCAAGTATTGATTGATGGTGGTAGTTCCGACAATTTTTTGCAGCCAAGAATAGCTAAATTTCTGAAACTGCCCATAGAACCCGGTCCAGCGTTCAGAGTTCTGGTTGGCAATGGGGAAATTATGAATGCAGAAGGGGTCATTTCAGACTTGTCAGTTAAGATACAGGGTCATGAACTGAAGGTTCCTGTGTTTTTGTTACCAGTGGCTGGGGCAGATATGATTTTGGGTGCATCGTGGCTAGCAACTCTAGGACCGCATGTGGCTGATTATGCTTCACTCACACTGAAATTCTTTCTAAATGGGAAGTTTGTCACGCTGGAAGGAGAGAAAGTTCCCAGACCTGCAATTGCTCAACTCAACCATTTGAAGAGGCTGCAGAACACTGGCGCTATAGCAGAATGTTTCACCATTCAATGGCTCAAATCAAATGTTGTTGAGGACATGTTCAAGGAGCTACCTACTGATACCAAACCCGAGATTTATATGTTACTGCATACATACAAAGCGGTGTTTAACACACCCGTTGCGTTGCCACCGGATAGGTCACATAACCATCATATTCCATTAATGGAGGGTTCTAATCCTGTCAAAGTTAAACCATATCGATACCCTCATAGCCAAAAGACACAAATTGAACAAATGATCCATGAAATGCTGCATCAAGGTATCATACAACCAAGTACGAGCCCATTTTCTTCACCAATCATATTGGTGAAAAAGAAAGATGGTACATGGAGGTTATGCACGGATTACAGGGCATTAAATACTATCACTGTCAAGGATTCCTTTCCCATTCCTACAGTAGACGAGCTATTGGATGAGTTATTCGGAGCTAAATATTTTTCAAAATTGGATCTCAGGTCTGGCTATCATCAAATATTGGTCCAACCCGAAGACAGGTATAAAACAGCTTTTCGAACACACCAAGGACATTATGAATGGCTGGTCATGCCATTCGGACTGACCAACGCTCCAGCTACGTTTCAAAGCTTAATGAATCATATTTTTCAACATGCTTTGCGAAAATATGTTTTGGTTTTCTTTGATGATATTCTCATATACAGCCCTACTTGGCAAGCACATCTGGACCATTTAGATGCAGTTCTAAAAATACTTCAAGACAATGTTTTGTTTGTCAAGTTATCTAAGTGTTCATTTGGAGTTTCAGAAATTGAGTACTTGGGACATAGAGTTACAGGTCAAGGAGTTGCCATGGACAAAGATAAAATCCAAGCTGTACAGGATTGGCCTGTACCTAAGAACGTGAAGCAATTGAGGGGTTTTCTAGGTCTCACGGGTTACTATAGGAGATTTATAAAATCATATGCAAGAGTGGCTGCACCATTGACTGAATTACTTAAGAAGGAGAGTTTTGTGTGGAATGACCAAGCTGAGATGGCATTTCACCAGTTAAAACTTGCAATGATTTCTGGTCCAGTTTTGGCTTTGCCGAATTTCAATAAACCTTTCATTTTGGAAACAGATGCCTCAGGGGTCGGAGTTGGTGCAGTGCTGCACCAAGATGGTCACCCCATTGCTTATTTCTCCAAGAAACTAGTTCCTCGCAATCAAAAGAAATCGGCTTATTTTCGAGAGATGCTTGCCATATCTGAAGCTATAGCCAAATTCAGACATTATTTAATGGGTCATAGGTTCATTATTCGAACCGATCAAAAGAGTTTGCGGAGTTTAATGGACCAAACCCTCCAGACACCCGAGCAGCAGCAATGGTTACATAAGTTTTTGGGTTACGATTTTGTTATAGAATACAAGCCGGGCAAAGAGAATCTGGCAGCTGATGCTTTATCGCGGTTAATGACTTTGTCATGGTCAGAGCCTGAGTGTCAATTCATTCAACAAGTAAAGGAAGTGTTGAAAAGTGATAACCACTGGCGTGACATCATACAAAAGTGTATTAGCCAAGGTAATTCATATCTCCAATATACTTTCAGAGATGGACTGTTATATTGGAAGCAACAAATTGTGATTCCTCAACACACTGAATTGGTACAGCAAGTCTTATATGAATTACATACATCCCCACTGGGTGGTCATGCGGGTTTTACTAGAACTATGGCTAGAATAAAGTCCCAATTCTACTGGCCGAATATGAAGAAGGATATCTATCACTATGTGCAAAGTTGTGGTGTGTGCCAACAAGCTAAAACTGCTAACACAGTACCGGCGGGGTTATTACAACCACTTCCAATACCATCACAAGTATGGGAAGATGTGGCTATGGATTTTATCACAGGACTTCCTTTATCCTTTGGGTTCACTACTATTTTAGTGGTCATAGATAGATTATCAAAGTATGCTCATTTCTTTCCTATGAAAACTGATTACTCTAGTAAGTCAGTGGCTGAAATTTTTATGCACAATATTGTCAAATTACATGGAATGCCCAAATCCATTGTGTCTGATAGGGATAAAGTGTTTACAAGTTCCTTTTGGCAACATTTGTTCAAGCTACAAGGTACAAGTTTGGCAATGTCGTCGGCGTATCATCCCCAATCTGATGGGTAGTCTGAGGCGCTTAATAAGGCAGTAGAGCTATTTCTTAGGTGTTTCACCTTTCACAACCCCAAGTCATGGTACAAGGCATTATCATGGGCTGAATTCTGGTACAACACAGCCTTACAGACCAGCATTGGCATGACACCCTTCAAGGCTCTTTACGGGAGAGATCCGCCGGCTTTATTAAGGTATGAACCTCAAGCTACTGACCCTCCAGCACTCCAAGAGCAACTGATGGAGAGAGACAGAATTTTACAGCAGTTGAAAGCAAATTTAGAAAAGGCTCAGCAGTACATGAAGAAACAAGCGGACAAGCATAGAATGGATGTGACCTTTCAGGTGGGAGAGCTAGTGTTGGTAAAGCTCCAACCTTATCGGCAACAGTCAGTGGCCTTGAGGAAGAATCAAAAGTTAGGCATGCGCTATTTTGGACCCTTTGAGATCATAGCTCGTGTGGGTTCGGTAGCTTACAAACTCAAACTTCCATATCATGCTAAAATACACCCTGTTTTCCATGTGTCTCAGCTTAAACCATTCAAGGGAACTTTCCAAGAGCAATACTTGCCGTTACCTTTGACTATGTCAGACAAAGGACCAATTATAACTCCTATTGAAGTGTTGCAGGCTAGAACTGTTATCAAAGGCAACCAAACAATTCACCAAGTTTTAATTCAATGGGATCAGCATGATGTTGCAGATGCTTCTTGGGAAGAAATAACTGACTTGCAACAGAAGTTTCCCTCTTTCAACCTTGAGGACAAGGTTGCTTTTAATGGGGATGGTATTGTAATGAAGCCAAAAGAGAAAGAGATTCTAGAAGCAGAATATGAGTCAGCAAAACAGAGGGAGGGCCCACAAAATACACACGGAAAGGAAGTGGCTAACAATAACGCGGAAATATCGGACATACGCACAGGAGCAAGGCCACGCAAACCGCACAGCATGTGGAGGGACTACGTGAAGGAATGAGTCAGTACTTATACTGCAGTAGTGAGAAATTGTAGGCTATGTGATGAGTAAAGTTGTTATTCTTCTCCCTCAAAACTTTCTTTTTCACATCTGGATTTTTATTGTATGCCTACTGTTTGATTAAAGTCCTATAATATTATCCTCACTTTTCTTTCCATCTTTTCTACAATATTTAGTACTGTTTCAGATTTTTAAACAGTATGAATTGATGGGGGTGTATGACATGAAATCTGATGGGGTGTGTGAAATAAATTAAATATAAATTTTAACTAAATCAATATAAAATTATCAAACACAAATTTTTACCTTCAATATAAACATTTCAATTATAAGTTTGTCGTTAACAACCAAGTTAATGAAATATAGTTAAAAATAATTAAAGTTATGAAACAAGTACATATATTTTTGTATTAAATATTGATTAAGATATTCAGAAGATCATAATTGTTTTTAAGTTTTACAACAACAAAAAAGTTATCATTGATAATTTTACAAAAAAAAAGTTACCATTGATAATTTTAGACTATAATTTATTAAAATATACAAAATATTTAAGAAGATTTGATAGTGTCTCATAAGGTCAAGATATTGTGCTGCTCTAGATATTTCTGAATGATAGTATTGTCCTAAATATTTCTGAATGGTGGTAATGATTCACGATCATGTGCGTGTTGTTTATGTTGCAACAAAAGTTATATTATTGTATTGTTTTAAATTTTTTTGAATAGTAGTGGTAATTCGGATTGCTGGTCTGATTCTAAACCCTTACAATTTTTTTAAATGTTTTATATTTTTGAATGACGAAGGTAATTTAGATATGTTTCAATAATAAGTTCATTTCTAGGTCATTGTCTTTGCATTTCTCCTTTTTACTTAATATATAATTTTAGTTTGTATAAAAAATATTATTAAATTGTAAAATATAATTAAATAAATATTTATATTTAAAGGTCATTATGTATTTAAGTTATGAATAAACAAAATAAATAGCTATAAACTCATATTCATGACATGAATAATAAAATGAATAGTATACATAATAAATAAAATAAATAACTATTAAATATATGTAATCATAAAAGAAGAGACGAATGTAGTAATAAATTTTGATTTATTTTAGATAATGATAATATATTTAAAAATAATAATATTTATTAGTAAGAAAACATTAATAACCTTTCCTTGGTAAAACATTTTATTCAGTGAAAAACTTTGGAAGATTGTTTTCAGATTTCTTTGATTCGGTCTACACTCTCTAAAAAGAATGAAATAAAACTTTAATATTGATTCGGTCTATACCGATTTTAGTATTGTTTGGTTTTCAAAATTTGTTCAGCCAAATACAACTTTAATTCCTAGTTCAACTGATCGAACCGATTGATTTAATTCATTTTTCAATAATTGATTTTTAAACAGTATGAATTGATGGGGGTGTATGACATGAAATCTGATGGGGTGTGTGAAATAAATTAAATATAAATTTTAACTAAATCAATATAAAATTATCAAACACAAATTTTTACCTTCAATATAAACATTTCAATTATAAGTTTGTCGTTAACAACCAAGTTAATGAAATATAGTTAAAAATAATTAAAGTTATGAAACAAGTACATATATTTTTGTATTAAATATTGATTAAGATATTCAGAAGATCATAATTGTTTTTAAGTTTTACAACAACAAAAAAGTTATCATTGATAATTTTACAAAAAAAAAGTTACCATTGATAATTTTAGACTATAATTTATTAAAATATACAAAATATTTAAGAAGATTTGATAGTGTCTCATAAGGTCAAGATATTGTGCTGCTCTAGATATTTCTGAATGATAGTATTGTCCTAAATATTTCTGAATGGTGGTAATGATTCACGATCATGTGCGTGTTGTTTATGTTGCAACAAAAGTTATATTATTGTATTGTTTTAAATTTTTTTGAATAGTAGTGGTAATTCGGATTGCTGGTTTGATTCTAAACCCTTACAATTTTTTTAAATGTTTTATATTTTTGAATGACGAAGGTAATTTAGATATGTTTCAATAATAAGTTCATTTCTAGGTCATTGTCTTTGCATTTCTCCTTTTTACTTAATATATAATTTTAGTTTGTATAAAAAATATTATTAAATTGTAAAATATAATTAAATAAATATTTATATTTAAAGGTCATTATGTATTTAAGTTATGAATAAACAAAATAAATAGCTATAAACTCATATTCATGACATGAATAATAAAATGAATAGTATACATAATAAATAAAATAAATAACTATTAAATATATGTAATCATAAAAGAAGAGACGAATGTAGTAATAAATTTTGATTTATTTTAGATAATGATAATATATTTAAAAATAATAATATTTATTAGTAAGAAAACATTAATAACCTTTCCTTGGTAAAACATTTTATTCAGTGAAAAACTTTGGAAGATTGTTTTCAGATTTCTTTGATTCGGTCTACACTCTCTAAAAAGAATGAAATAAAACTTTAATATTGATTCGGTCTATACCGATTTTAGTATTGTTTGGTTTTCAAAATTTGTTCAGCCAAATACAACTTTAATTCCTAGTTCAACTGATCGAACCGATTGATTTAATTCATTTTTCAATAATTGATTTTTAAACAGTATGAATTGATGGGGGTGTGTGACATGAAATCTGATGGGGTGTGTGAAATAAATTAAATATAAATTTTAACTAAATCAATATAAAATTATCAAACACAAATTTTTACCTTCAATATAGACATTTCAATTATAAGTTTGTCGTTAACAACCAAGTTAATGAAATATAGTTAAAAATAATTAAAGTTATGAAACAAGTACATATATTTTTGTATTAAATATTGATTAAGATATTCAGAAGATCATAATTGTTTTTAAATTTTACAACAACAAAAAAGTTATCATTGATAATTTTACAAAAAAAAAGTTACCATTGATAATTTTAGACTATAATTTATTAAAATATACAAAATATTTAAGAAGATTTGATAGTGTCTCATAAGGTCAAGATATTGTGCTGCTCTAGATATTTCTGAATGATAGTATTGTCCTAAATATTTCTGAATGGTGGTAATGATTCACGATCATGTGCGTGTTGTTTATGTTGCAACAAAAGTTATATTATTGTATTGTTTTAAATTTTTTTGAATAGTAGTGGTAATTCGGATTGCTGGTTTGATTCTAAACCCTTACAATTTTTTTAAATGTTTTATATTTTTGAATGACGAAGGTAATTTAGATATGTTTCAATAATAAGTTCATTTCTAGGTCATTGTCTTTGCATTTCTCCTTTTTACTTAATATATAATTTTAGTTTGTATAAAAAATATTATTAAATTGTAAAATATAATTAAATAAATATTTATATTTAAAGGTCATTATGTATTTAAGTTATGAATAAACAAAATAAATAGCTATAAACTCATATTCATGACATGAATAATAAAATGAATAGTATACATAATAAATAAAATAAATAACTATTAAATATATGTAATCATTAAAGAAGAGACGAATGTAGTAATAAATTTTGATTTATTTTAGATAATGATAATATATTTAAAAATAATAATATTTATTAGTAAGAAAACATTAATAACCTTTCCTTGGTAAAACATTTTATTCAGTGAAAAACTTTGGAAGATTGTTTTCAGATTTCTTTGATTCGGTCTACACTCTCTAAAAAGAATGAAATAAAACTTTAATATTGATTCGGTCTATACCGATTTTAGTATTGTTTGGTTTTCAAAATTTGTTCAGCCAAATACAACTTTAATTCCTAGTTCAACTGATCGAACCGATTGATTTAATTCATTTTTCAATAATTGATTTTTAAACAGTATGAATTGATGGGGGTGTGTGACATGAAATCTGATGGGGTGTGTGAAATAAATTAAATATAAATTTTAACTAAATCAATATAAAATTATCAAACACAAATTTTTACCTTCAATATAAACATTTCAATTATAAGTTTGTCGTTAACAACCAAGTTAATGAAATATAGTTAAAAATAATTAAAGTTATGAAACAAGTACATATATTTTTGTATTAAATATTGATTAAGATATTCAGAAGATCATAATTGTTTTTAAATTTTACAACAACAAAAAAGTTATCATTGATAATTTTACAAAAAAAAAGTTACCATTGATAATTTTAGACTATAATTTATTAAAATATACAAAATATTTAAGAAGATTTGATAGTGTCTCATAAGGTCAAGATATTGTGCTTCTCTAGATATTTCTGAATGATAGTATTGTCCTAAATATTTCTGAATGGTGGTAATGATTCACGATCATGTGCGTGTTGTTTATGTTGCAACAAAAGTTATATTATTGTATTGTTTTAAATTTTTTTGAATAGTAGTGGTAATTCGGATTGCTGGTTTGATTCTAAACCCTTACAATTTTTTTAAATGTTTTATATTTTTGAATGACGAAGGTAATTTAGATATGTTTCAATAATAAGTTCATTTCTAGGTCATTGTCTTTGCATTTCTCCTTTTTACTTAATATATAATTTTAGTTTGTATAAAAATATTATTAAATTGTAAAATATAATTAAATAAATATTTATATTTAAAGGTCATTATGTATTTAAGTTATGAATAAACAAAATAAATAGCTATAAACTCATATTCATGACATGAATAATAAAATGAATAGTATACATAATAAATAAAATAAATAACTATTAAATATATGTAATCATTAAAGAAGAGACGAATGTAGTAATAAATTTTGATTTATTTTAGATAATGATAATATATTTAAAAATAATAATATTTATTAGTAAGAAAACATTAATAACCTTTCCTTGGTAAAACATTTTATTCAGTGAAAAACTTTGGAAGATTGTTTTCAGATTTCTTTGATTCGGTCTACACTCTCTAAAAAGAATGAAATAAATCTCTTATAACAAAAAAAATGTTAAAAATTAGTGAAACTTTAAAATAAATTAAGGGATCCCATTTATTAAAAACAA